GGAAGAGTCTGCGCTTACAGGGAGCTCCCAGTCCACTTTGGGGAGGGGAGCAAGTAGAAGAAGAGACGGACCAGCAGAACAGAGCTGGGAAGTGGCCTCAGGTGAGCTTCCTGGAGGAGGAGGAAAGGAGAGCACAGGGGAGCAAGGCAAGGAAAAAGAGGGAGGAAGGGTCTATGTGAGACTGAAAGGGAGAAGGGGGATTCTGTGGAGGAGGTGTGGGATGGATTTGTCCATCTGAAGCAGAAAGCCCAAGCCAGAGTGTGGAAAGAGTGGTAAAAGGGGTGGGGCGGAGAAATGGGCAACCTCAGAAGCTGAGATGGTGGTGCCAAGCCTCAACTGATTCATCTGTGAAATGGGCCTGACACCTGCTTCCCCCAGTTGCCGTGAGGATTCGCTGGGCCCGTGCCTATAGGGCTCTGGCTGGAGATCACACTCCCTTCTCACGCATTTCCTGTCCTGCTTTTATTCCCCACTGCATCTAAGCCCAGAGGGGCCAGTTCCTCCTTGTTTCTCAGCATCTGGCCTCATCTAGAAACATCTGCCTCTCCTGCAAGAGGTCCCAGTTAAGGGTCTGAAGGAAGAAGTGGTGAAGGCAGGACTGCGGGTGGCGGGGCGGGCGGGGAAGCTGGATGGAAGGAACAGAGGCACATTTTCCTCACCCCCACCTCCCTCAGGCCTCATTCTACACAGATTTGCCATTCATCTCCCCAGATTCCCCTAACTCCTGGCTGCCCTCAATACACACACTCGCACGTGCGCGCACACGCACACGCACACACCTGTTTTCTCTCTCAACAATTCAGCGTAACCCCACCCCGACCCAGGACCCCCAGTAGAGGACCCCACACTTCTTCCTCCAGCTTTTCCTTCAGTGGCTACCCAGCAATGGATTCTCCAGTTTTATTTCCAAAATTCTGGCCAATTTTGGATTCTTCTCCATAACATGTCCATGTTATTTCAATATGAAAATATTTTACCTCCCAGTTAAATTACCAAACTTTTCCCTGAAAAATCTTCCAGTGAGAAGCAGGGCCATATTTTATCCTTTTTTTTTCCTGCTGAAGGCACCCAAGGAGGACTCAAGGGTCCCTGTGCCCCCATTTGAGTCATGCTGGCAGGGCTCTGTGCATACACAGAACCCGCAAGACAGAGCCTGCTGTCTCGAACCAGGAGAGGAAGGCAAAGGCAATGTGGGAGGGGGGTGTCCCCGGATCCCTGGCACCAGCCTTGGTCTCAGAAACAACAAGACTTTAGCTCAGTGGAGGTTGAGGGGGTTTGGGGGATAGTCAGAGTTAAAGCTGGAGTTGGATGAGCAGGTGTTACCCATGGCAAGAAAAGGAGATGGTACTCCTGTGGTCTGACCTCAATCTCTCCTGCTTTAGGGGTAGAATCCTGGGCTCATAGAATGTCCCTCGAGCTGGGCATGGTGGTGTGTGCTGTCATCCCTGCTACTCTGGAGGCTAAGGTGGGAGGATTGCTTGAGCCCAGGAGGTTGAGGCTGCAGTGAGTGGGGATCAAGCCACTGGACTCCAGCCTGGGTGATGGAGCAAGACCCTGTCTCCTCCTACAGTCCCATCCCTATGATTGCAGATGAGGCCAGACAGAGGGCTCACTTGAGACTCCGGAAGTCTTTATTCTTCCCAAATTGACTCATTCTCAGTTTCCAGGGTGTGGTGGGCAGAATAATGGCCCCTCAAAAATGTCCACATTCTCATCCCCAGAACCTGTAAATATGTTACTTATGTGGTAAAAGGGATTTTGCAGATGTAAGTAAGGATCTTGAGATGAGGAGAATATCCTGGATGGTCTGGATGAGCTCAGTGTCATCATAAGTACTCTTATCAGGGAAAGAGGGAGTCAAGAGACTCACAGAGACATGAGGACAGAAGCTGAGGTGGGAGTGATGTGAGGATGGGGCCATGAGCCAAGGGATGCAGGCAGCCTCTAGTCAGTGGAAAAGGCAAGGGATCAATTCTCCCCTTGAGAAGGAACCAGCCCTGCTGACCCATTTCAGACTTCTGACCTCTGAGCTCAATTTGTTTGTAAGCCACTAAATTTTTGGTAATTCGTCACAGCAGCAATAGGTAACTAATGCTAATTAATTGCAAACTAGTTACACAAGGCTTTGGGGTGAGAGGCTTTGTGGGCTCCAGTGGGGAACCCAGTGAGTCTTCCCCTCCACTTTCTTTCATCCTTACCCAGCATCAATTGCACATCCATGATGTGTCAAGCACATACCAACTTAATCATCACAGCCCTGCCTTCAAGGAGCTTCCAGTCTAGTGGGACTACAGGCATGCAAACACACAAGAACCATATAGTAAAAGAGTGATTTTTGATGGTTGGTATGTACCAGCTGCAATCTGCATGGGGACAGGAGCCAGAAGTAAGGGAATACTTGGCTTTTGGAGCCAGAAAGGAGTGAGGTCTTGATCCTGACTGCTCATTTTGTGATGCTGGACAAGTTACTTATGGGGGACCTGGTTGCTCCCTGATTCACCTGGGGAGGTGAAGCGGGTGCTGCATTAGCTCATTGCATTATCCCTGTGAACCAGAGCCTCAGAGTGAGTGTGGGACAGGGGTGGAGGCTGGGGACAAGGAAGGATGCAGGTATTACTATGTCCTACCTATGCCTTAGTTTCCACATCTGTAAAGTAGGAAAAATAATCACTCCTATCTCATGGGGTTGTAAGAATTAAATGATGGTGCATGGAGACTGCTTGACACAGTCAGTGACACCTAGTAAGTGCTCAGAAAACAGGGAAGGCTTTACGGAGGAGCTAGAACTTGAGCCAGACTTGAAGGCCAAATAGGAACTTGTGGAACAAACAAACAGGAGGAAGCTCTTCTGAGCAGGAAAAAAAAAAAAAACAGCATGAGTGAGGCACAGGGATAGGACGTGAACCTTTTGGGGAATTGCAATGAGATTCAGGCAGCCGAAGCCTAATGTGGCCAAGAAGCAGGAGAGGTGCTTGGAGAGTAGGCAGAGGCTGGACCACCAAGGACCTTTTATGTCTTTCTAAAGATGCTTTTATCCTGAAGCCAATAGCAAGCCACTGAAGGCTGTTGAAGAGGGGAGTGACTCAACTAGATTTTTATGTTGGAAACAAATCTGTTTTCCGGGTTGGTTCCAAAGAGAGACAGGAACTGAGGGAAAGGATCCCATTCCAATTCAACCTGTTGGGGCAGGGAGGAGAAGGTGTTTCCTTTTTCTTTTTCTTTTTTTTTTTTTTTTTTTTTTTGAGATGGAGTCTCGCTCTGTCACTTAGGCTGGAGTGCAGTGGTGCAATCTCGGCTCACTGCAACCTCCACCCCGGGTTCAAGTGATTCTCCTGCCTCAGTCTCCCAAGTAGCCGGGACTACAGGTGTGCGCCACCACACCCAGCTAATTTTTATCTTTTTGGTAGAGATGGGGTTTCACTGTGTTGTCTGGGCTGGTCTCGGACTCCTGGCCTCAGGTGATCTGCCCAACTCAGCGTCCCAAGGTGTTTCCAATGTCCCCAACTGTGAACCCAGAGATGATCTCTGGAGGAAGGGGTTTCAGGAGAATCACAGCAAGTCAAAGGAAAAGATCCAAATACCTATTATCCATACGAGGAAACCGAGGCCCAGAGAATGTCACGCAGTAGTGGCAGAGGCAGGACCAGATCCCAAATGTCCTGACTCACAGCCCAGTGCTCGCTCTAAAGTACCCTGACAGCCACAATCGCTGGATGAATAGCCAAGCTGCAGGTGGAAGACTAAAGCAGAACAGGCAATCTCCCACATTGACTCTTTGGAGGGACAGTGAAGAGAGACTCTTGTGCTCTTGTCCAGTGTTTCTGGGGACCTGGTTGCTCTCTGATCCTCCTGGGGAGGGGGAGGGGGTGCAGCATTAGACTATCCCATGAAATGGAGCTGCAGAGTGAGTGCAAGATAGGGGCAGAGGCTAGGGGGCAGGAGGGGATGCAGATGTTATTATGCCCTACCTATACCCTATGCCTGGCTGATGCTAAATTGTCCTCAGTGCCACGGAACTGAACCTGTGACAACACAATAGACTAAAAATAAACTGGGCATTTACCACTTTAAAGCCTTAGAGCCAAGTCTCCCCATTCAGTTGCAATGCCCCAGTGAGGCAGTAGACTGACCCCACGTGACTTTTGGGAATGAACACTGAGACCATCAACCCTATCAATGAGGGTTAAAAAACAACAACGAAGTACCACCTGACAACTTCAAATTATTTATTGATTCCTGAAAAGGAAAATGAAAGGAAGCTGGCCAAAGCCACGGAGTGCCAGTTGAATAAGTTATCAGGAGTCTTCTTGGATTGACGACGCGGCTCCGTTTGCAGCACTTAGCATCTTCTGCCTCAGAAGAGAGCTCCTGGTGGGCGCTCAGCCTACCTGCTTCAACTGCAAGCTCCCTGAAGACAGACACCCCAGTTTGGCACTGTGCCTGACTGGCAAGAGGGCTCTTTTCCTCTTTTGCAAACTGTTGATGCAGCCTCCTAAGTACCCTCTCTGCCTCCTAAGTACCCTCTTTGCCTCCCGTCTGGCTCCTCTAGTCCACCCTACAGTCTTCCTAAGACACTGATCATATCCTCTGATTCTGCTGAAACGCTTCAGGGACTCTCCACAGCTACAGCAATGACTCCCCAAGTATGCCCTGGAGCACATCAGTCCCAAGAGATGCTCCTGAAGAAACAGCTTGGGGCCAAAATAAATTTAGAAAATGCTCTTTACTGAAGCCCCTCAGCCCTTGGAGATTCACATTCCACATGAGCGTAATACGGGATCTGAGAAGTCTTGCAAGGTTAGCATGCAACCAGGTTAGAGCATTTGATACAGTTTTCCCAGGCTTTTTCCATCACAGGCAATCTTTTTGCAAGCAGTGTCTACAAACAGCCCAAGACATAGTCCCACAGAACGTACTTTGGGAAGCAGTGAGCTGCACGGTAGAGCCCGAAGTTCATTCAAGGAGGGGGAGGGCAGCGGTTATGTGATGAGTCCCTGCCCAAGGGAACATGGTCTGTGGGAGCACTGAGGTGGCCGCGATGGCTCAGGGTGCAAAAGGGAAGGTGCTGGCTGTGTGCAGACACGACAGAGATTTGTGGGTCAGGAAAGTCCATCGGCAGCTCTCCTCTCTGCCTTCAGTCTCTTCATCTGGACACAGATATCCTGGGCATGTGTGTGTTTCTGGACCTGGCACATCCTGAGTGAATCTTGGCCTCTTGAACCCAGCAGCCTCCTGCTGCAGAGTCACTGAGATGCTGTGCAATTATGACATACCCTCCCACCACAAAAGAACATTCCAGCTTGTCCAGGGGATGGTCACAGAGGCCAGTGCTCCACTGGATCCCCAGCAGCAGAAGCCTTCTGTGGTAGTAAAAGCATGGGCATCAGAGGCCGAGTCCGGGGTTCCCATCCTGATCCATCACTGACTAGGTGCTGTGGGGCCTTGGGTAAGTCACTCAATCTCTCTAAGCCTGTTTCCTCATCTGTAAATTGGGAAATAATAGCTGCCTTCAGGGTTGTTGAGCCTGCATGGTTTGTTGTCCTGTGGTATCAGCCTCACCACCTCCAAAGTTCTCGAAGATCCCGAAGGTAGGATTAAGTCTCAACATTCATTCATTCATTCCATGCAAATACTTGTCAGTCACCTTCCCCGTGCTAGGAACTGGGGAAATGGTGCTGAGGAGAAACAGGCTGGGTCTGCGCCTGTGGGGAACATACATTCTGGTAGAGATTAAGTAATTCATTCATTTATTCAATACTGAGCAGCCACGGTGGGCCCGGCACTGTGCTGAGCTCGGGCCTCCTGTAGGTTTTCAAACAGAGTTTACAAAGTACTTACAAAGCACTTTTGCCATCTTTGGTTAGTTTGTTCTTCGTGACAGTCTGGTAAGATAGGAAGTAGAGATTATCACCCCATTTGGTAGACAAGGAACTAGAGGATCAGGAAGATTAAGAGGAAAATTGAACTGGGAACCAAAATCTCTCTTCTCTCCATAGGCATTCACTGGAGGCCCACTCTGGGCCAGGCGCTGTGTTCACAGTGAGATGAAAACGTCCCTCTGGCCGGGTGCGGTGGCTCAAGCCTGTAATCCCAGCACTTTGGGAGGCCGAGACGGGTGGATCACGAGGTCAGGAGATCGAGACCATCCTGGCTAACACGGTGAAACCCCATCTCTATTAAAAAATACAAAAAACTAGCCGGGCGAGGTGGCGGGCGCCTGTAGTCCCAGCTACTCAGGAGGCTGAGGCAGGAGAATGGCGTAAACCCGGGAGGTGGAGCTTGCAGTGAGCTGAGATCCGGCCACTGCATCCCAGCCTGGGCGACAGAGCAAGACTCCGTCTCAAAAACAAAACAAAACAAAACAAACAAAAAAAAAAACGTCCCTCTGGCTGTGTGGGTTTTTGTTTGCCATTTCTGTGACGGCCATTTGTTTGCCCCTCTATTGCTGCAGTCCCTGTTCCTCTCTGAGGCAATACCCTCTCCCAGCCAAGCCCTCAGCCACGGACTTTCCATACAACAGGGAGCATATAAGTTGATTCCTCGAATTCCACACCCTCAGCTGTCCCCCTTTGTAGCCCAGGAAATCCTTCCTGCACTTGACTTCAACACCTAAGGCCAAGGTTGGTCCCCCTACCGCCAGGGGCCTCCGTTGGGGTAGAGCAATGCTCAGGGAAGACCAAGATGACTCAGGCCCTCCTCAAATGCCAACATGTGAACCAGAGGCACACTAGACCCTGAGCTCCCAGCCAAGTGCGTGCTCGCTGTAGGGGCTACTCTGGGTCTTGGCCAGGGAGGAGCAGGTGGGAACAAGGAGCAGAGCATGCAGATCTTCCAAAGTGGATAGAGTTATAAACTGGAGTGGGAGAGGAGGAAAGGGTAATGAGGGAGCTGAATGATGAGCCCACCATCATTTTACTAAAGGCCTGGAAACTAGACAGCAACGTGGGATCTTGGAGGGAGGTGCTGAATTGGGGGTGGGGTGGGGTGAGGGGTGTCAATATCACTCAACATCCAACTCACTGTCAGCTTAAATGAGCAAACCCCAGCTGAGCCAGAGAAGACTGACATATCCAGCATTCCCCAGATCCATCTGAATATCTCCTCCTTCTCCTCCACCTCTTCCTTCTCCTCTAGGAAGGCCCCTCAAGTCATCTCCATCCCCACAGGCGTGTTCCCCGTGTGCCTGCCTAGCTCTTGTGCCTATACCCTGTATCCTGGCTACTCTGTCTCCCTGTGTTCTGGGCATGCTCTATTTCCTCCATCAACCAGGGGCTCCAGGAGGTGAGCTGTAAGAGGTGGAGGTTCTTTTTTTTTTTTATTTTAGATGGAGTCTCACTCTGTCACCCAGCCTGGAGTGCAGTGGTGCGATCTCAGCTCACTGCAACCTCCGCCTCCCAGGTTCAAGCCATTCTCCTGCCTCAGCCTCCAGAGTAGCTGGGACTACAGGCGTGTGCCACCATGCAGGGCTAATTTTCGTATTTTTTTTTTATTTTTTAATTAGAGACAAGGCTTCACCATATTGGCCAGGCTGGTCTCGAACTCTTGACCTTGTGATCTGCCTGCCTTGGCCTCCCAAAGTGCTGGGATTACAGGCGTGAGCCGCTGCACCAGGCCCAGGTTGAGGTTTTTGAAGAGCATCACCTTTGCAGGTTCAGAGTATGGAATCTCCTTTGAAGCTCCCTCCACCTCGGCTCTCTTAATTCCCAGGCCACTGCCAGCTTCAGCAGATCCTGAACTGTTCTGTGAGGTGTTTACAGCCTTTCTCCCGTGCTCCAGGCATGTGGCCTTCCACCTGGATTCTGTCTGCTCTTTCATCCCCTGGCCCTGGTTCCACCAACAGCTTCCTCCAGCCCTGTTGGCAGCAGTCTAATCTAAATCATGCTCACTGCGGTTTTCAGTACAAGGTTTTATCATCAGGTTATGTATGGGTATGGGTAGCCTGAAGGATGTGGGGTAGAACCAAGAGACAACTACCTGCCTGGGGAGAGCAAGCGGCGCTACTCTCACAGCTCACACCAATGCCTGCCTGACAGAATTTTTGTCTCCGTTAATTCATTTATCGCCAGGAGAAAGTCGAGCTGTCTCTTTCCTCTTTACAGGTGAGAAACGCTGCAGGCAGGAATCCAGCCGTCATTCTTGACACCACCCTTATCTAATCCCCTGCCAACTGCTAGTTCAAGCCAGCATCAGCTCTCTCCTGGACCACTGCCACCGCCTCCTAACAGGATTCCCACCTCCGCTCTCATTACCCCCGATCTGCAGCCAACTTGAGATGATCATGTCACCCCTTCCACACCCAACACAACTCCAAAATGCAAAGAGGCTTCCTCTGTTCTTGGATCAAGGGTTTAAACATGATCTAGAAGGCCTTGCGTTGTCAGTCTGCATCCACCTCTCATTCCTGTCTCTGCACTCCAGCCTTGTCTGCCTTCTCCCAGCACATTGTATATGCTCCCTCCTGCCACTGGGCCTTTGCAAATACTGTTTCCTCTGCCTGGGCTGTTCTTCCATCCCTTGGGTTTCAACTCAGACATTACCTTGTTAGAGAAGGCCCCCAGCTTCCCTCGCCGGTCAAATCCCCCGTACATACTCTTAGGGCATCATGTTCTTCGTTTTCTTTGCACTGACCACAGCTGTCATCCTGACTGCATTTGGGTGGCTATTTGATTGATGTCTGCTCCCCACTAAACTGCAGGCTCCATGAGGGCAAGAGCCAGCCTAGCCCAGTGCCTGGCACATAGTAGGTGCTCAATAAATAGTTGTTTGAGTGGGGCCTGAATAAGTGAGCAAAGCCTTAACCAAGCCAGGACCAGGAGCTCAGAGCCTTTGGCTCCCCAGGAAGGGAAGATGGTTAAGTCCCTGAGGCTAGGTGGGGAAGCCACAGTTTGTGCCCTACTGGAAGAGGATGCCACCAGCTCTGTGCTTGGGCTAGCAATTGGTCACTATTTGAAAACAGAGTTTGCTCCATAGCAAGCAGCCCCCCAGAGACTGGGTGTGGAGGGTGAGGAGGAGGGTGCCAGTTAGAGCGGTGAATCCCGCCACAGTTCCACTGCTGCTGTGCTCTTGCAGGGGTCTGGTCTTTGGGTTTTGGGAGTCCAGTCCTTGCTACCTCTTTACATTTGAGATGGTCCTCCCCAGGCACACCCCAGAGAAGAGAAGTGGCTGGCTTCAGTCCCTTGCTTACATGCTTACAGGGTGGAGGGAAGGTGCCTCTGGTGGGAAGGAGAAGGATGAAGAGGAAGGAAAGGGAAGACAGAAGTGTCCATGAAAAACTCAGGAGAAAGGCTTATGAGAGGCAGGATATTGGCTATTTGCGGAGGCACCTCTAGAAAATGACTCACCCTCCCCTGGTTCTTGAGTGGCCCCAGGGAGGCATCACCATCTCCCTTTTTAGCATCCTCCCCTGGTAAGGAAGAGAGAAAGAAAAGGATATCTACTGTCCAGGCAGAGCCAGTCAGATTCCTCTGAGCAATCCTGGAGGGCTTCCAGGAGGAGATGAGCTTTATAGAAGCCACAGGCTACCTGGGAGGGAGCTAGTCCAGGCAGAGAATCATAGGGAGAGAGGACCACATCCCAGGGTAATAGATGAGAAGCAGGAGACAGCAAGATAAGGAAAGGCAGTGTGACCAGAGTGGAGGGGGCATTGCAAGGGAGGCAGGAATCACCCTGTTACATTAACAGGTCTGGTTGTGTCACTGTCTGCTCAGAACCCTGCAGAGGCTCTCATTCCACTCAGAAAAACCACAGACCTTCCTCGCTGCTCTCCTCTCCTATGCCCCTCACTGCCACTCCCACTGCTGAAGCCGTGCTGGCCTTCTTCCTGGTCCACAGTGCATCGTGTGCTTCTTAGGCTGTTCCTCTGCCTGGAACCTCCTTCCCTACCCAGCTCCACTCTCACTCTCTCCCCTCCTGCGAAGCTCTGCTCAAGTCTTGCCTTCTGACGCTGTTATGTAAAACTGCACCCCTTCCCTAGCCCCATTCTTGGCCCTCCTGACTTCTTTCGCCTTGCTTTTTTCCCCTCCTCATGGAACTTATAACTTTCTAACATCCCCCATGATTTATTTACTCTCTCCCAAGAGAAAGCAAGTTCCACAGAGCAAGAATAATTGTCTGTCGTTTTGCTGACATGTCAGCACAAAAGACAGGGACTGACACACAGTAGGTGTCCAACAAAAATTGGTTCAATAACTAAGAAGGGTAGAGGAGGAAGTGGGGCTGGGAGCCTGGGAATGGAGTGGAAAATCATGTTTCCAGGCTCCTTGGTGAGTGTGGGAATGGAGATCCAGAGTGGGTGGGCAGCTCCCAAGCAGCCACCCAACAGGCCAGGAACAGAACTGTCTCACCCCCTGTTATGTCTGTCCCTGCTCTCCCTCCTCCCCACCTTCAGAGTCATCCCTGGGTGATGGTGCTGCTGGCATCTGGTATCCATCAGTCCCTTCCAGGAGTTCCTGTGAAACAAAGCGGGGTGGCTAAAGTGATCCCAGATTGGGGGCAGGGGGGTAGTCTGCAGGCAAGCTGCCCCTGTTGCTGACCTACCCCTCCCCACACCCCCCTGCCCAACCCTTCCCAGAGCTACCAGCCTGCAGGTTTCACCACCCCCAACACCCAACCACACACAACTCCTGGCTCCGGATTTGAGGGATGAGGAGTGGAGCTGGCAGGAGGGAACAAGAGCATGCAAATGGGACCTGACAGGGGCTGGGCACCTCGGGCAAAGAATGTAAATAAAAATCAGTAAATATTTAGGAGAAATGGAGCGGGAAGTGGGAGAGGGAGGGTGGAGGGGACGTGTTGGATTTCCAACAACATCTGGAGGGCAGTCCTCTCCTCCATCCTCCCCATGCCCCATTCCACCCCATATGGGGGCTTGCAGTTGAGAGAGGGTGGTGGCTCTTGATGGGGAGGTGAAGTGTCTGCGCTGGGCTGTCTGGATGCTGGGGGTGGGCACAACTTTGACAGTCTAGAGTGTTTGCCTGGCCAAGCACACACAAGGCCTCACCCAACCCCAAACTGAGTGCTTCCCTCTGGGCCATTCATGTCTTCCCTTCCACAAGGCCCTGCTGTGAGCCAGGAAGCAGGGATTCTAGGATGAAAAGACAAGGTCCCTCTCCTCAAGGAGCTTCTAAGAGGAACAAGAGCCTTAAGAAGGCCCCACATAAGGAAGGCCTTGACAGAAGTCAGCTTAGGGAGCTAGGGGGAGTGACATAAAGTAGAGGTCCGGGAGGACTTCCTGGAGAAGGAGGATTATGAAAGTACAGACAGACATGGTTGAGAAAAGGATGTGTGTGCAGTGGGAGGTGAAGTTCATTTTCAGGGAGAGGTAAGAGTATGGAACCTCTGTGGGCAGGATGATACAGGAGGATGGAGCAGGGGGGCAAAGAGAGTTGAAGCTTAGTTACCCCCAGAAGAAAATCTAAAGTAAGAGCCCCAATGGGGCAAGATGAGGGATGAGGAAAGGGGCTTGAGGAGGTCTCTGCCCCCTACCCCACCATCCCCACCACCTCAGCCAAAGTAGTTCCACCTTCATCTGCTTTACTGATCGGGCTTCTGGGAAAATTTTATTTGAAGGGTCTCAATACTTTTGAAAAAAAAATTGAAAACTACTGCTCTCTCAGGAAATAAAAGAAAAGCTTCCTCCTAAATGGAGGCCAAAGCTGGAAAAACGGAAGAGCAGAAAGCAGAGGATCTACCTCTAGCTTCAGAGCGGTGAGCCTTCACATCCCCGGATTGAGGTTAGACCCTCGGAGGGACTTCTTAACAGGTTTTTCAAGCCTTTCTCTTGCCATCCAAATTGGGTCAGGCCTGGCTCACTGCGCTGCCTGCCCACCCCATGCTGAGCCGCCCTGGGCAAGAGTGCAGGGGCTCCAAAGAGGGTCCGAGGACTGGAGTGTCATCCTCCGCCTCCTGCTTCCAGTGTGGGGAACAATTGGCCTTTTGTCCAACAGAGGATGCCCAAAGGGTGAGGTCACTCCCGACATGGCTTTCTTTGTCCCAGAGCCAAGGAGACACCAAGGCTGAGTCCAGGCAGCCTCCCCTGATCCTCTGTCCCCAAACCCCTGAGCACTGCCCCCCACCCCTCACTGTCCCCATGAAGGGCTTTTCCAGGGCCACAGGAAGGAACACTTGAAGGGAAGGAGGCTGGTGCAGCAGGCACGGGTGGAGGTGAAGAAGGCATGAGATGGGTACAGAGGAGAAGGAAGGGGAGCTGGCTAAGTCGCCGGTTTAGAGGGTGATCCTTCTTCACAAGGAGTTCCAGCCACTCACGTGGCTTGCCCTACAAAAATGGTTCCAGGCTGGGCACAGTGGCACATACCTGTAATCCCAGCACTTTGGGAGGCTGAGGTGGGAGGATCGCTTGAGTCTGAGGGACCAAGGCTGCAGTAAGCCTCGGTCACTGGCCAGAGAGGCCAAGAGGATGCTGGGAGCAGGGCCAGCACCACTGCACTCCAGCCTGGGCGACAGAACAAGATCCTGTCTCAAAAACCAACAACAAAAAAAGGTTCTAAACCCGAAAGGGGGAAAAAAAGCCAAAGGGGTCTGAGCCCCAAGGCCCCCATTGCTTGCATCAGCTTTAGACCAAGAGGCCCTTGGGTGATGCGGATGAACTGGAAGTTCCCCAGGTATTGCCAGAGGAAGGGCTTTAAATGGGATTCCCCTGTCCCAGGGGCCCCTCCCCGATGGAGGTGAAGAGCTTCCTGAGACAGGGAGAGTGCAGGGCCCAGAGGACAGCACAGTAGGGGAGGGAGAAGGCAGGGGAAAGGTGTCTGTGGCCTGGAGGAGCCAAAGGACCAGAGTCTGAGCCAGAGCATCGCTGAGGAGCTGCCGTGGACGGGCCTCCAGGAGGCTCCATCATCAGGATGGGCCGAAGACAGAGGCAACAGACACGGGCCATTGGCAGGGGTGGTCTAAAAAAGGAGAGGTCACTGTGGTGCCATGAGCCCTAGACAGGGAAGCAAGGCTCCGAGTTCTAGTCCTGGCTCTGCCTCCAACTCATGGAGGACCCTGGACTGGCTTCCTTTCCCTGGACCTCAGTTTCCTCCATCTGTGCAGTGAAAGCCTTCCAGAGGCACAGTTCTAGTAGTCTGGACTAAGATGCTGGGGCAGCAGTGTGCTGGAGGGCAGAGCAGGGGCTCGGGATGAGGGGATCCTATGGCCATCTGCTGGGACAAGCTGGGACCTGGCAGGACAGGAAGGGCTACCCTGAGAGCTGTGGCTCTTGGAGCAGCTGCCTATGAGGAAGAGAGACAGCGCTATGGCGGGAGCCAACCACAACTGGGGGCTGGCCAGGGGGGACAGTAGTGCTATGGGTGGGGAGTACAGCTGTCTGGAGGCCACCAAGGTTGGGAGTGTGGAGGGGCGGGTCCACCCCCAGGGCTGAAT